TGGATGTAGTTAGGGCCATTGAAATGTGTAATAATGTAGTTGAAAGTGTAAATTTTTTGTTGTGTGTACAATTGTGTGTACAAATTTGTTGTGTGAAAAATTATTTTCCTTTTGTCTCTCTTCTTTTAGTGTTAGGAAGTCCTTAGAGCCTGGGGTGCCATAGACCAATTTGGCTAATTATGAGCTCTGTGCATTGAACCTCCCAAGTCATAGAGTTGTCAATATTCACCTTGCACCCCCAAGCCATTGTTTGATGACTCCAGTCAGTGACCTTCACATCTGTGTCCCAGGCTCCATGGTTGTCTACACCAGCAAACTCCTATCTGACTTTGCATTAATTTTGATCCTGAGGACAGAGTCTGGGGCTTCATGAAAGAGAAGGCATAAGAGGGCCTTTGGGTCTCTCCTCTTGACTATGACCTAGAAGAAAAACACCATCACCCAGTAAGTGCAAAGGGACCTATGCATATAGTAACCATCCTTTAAGTAAGGTTTCCTCACCATAAAAACAAATATTACAGTCTGACTAGCCAGATGGCAAGGTGCAATTATGAAAAATATTTGTTATGAGGAATAGAAATTGTATGTTTTTGGTTTCAGAGAGAAAACAGAATTGTTATTTCAACATTTCCTTCTATACAAATCATCTCTATTTCTCACTGGTGTCTCACTCTTAGCACGAAAAAAATTGTGTTCTTCTGCACTGTCTCCTAAGCACTCCAAAAGGATGGTGAACATGATGGTAAGGATGTAGAAGAGGAGGTCAGTGAGCAGAGCATCAAGAATTGCTTCTGAGAGCTTCCTGTATTCCAGGCACTGAGCAATGACTTCTCTGCTGCTTGTTTCATTTCATTGATTTTGTCTTTCTATATTTATAAGTGCCTGCATTTTTATTCCTAATACTAAATAAAAGAATCTGTTATTTTAATGAAATCTGCAGCAGGCTGTTAGGTAGAAAAATGTTAAGCCACATTTTAATAGGGCTGTCAGATTGCAGACATGGGGCATCAAAGAAGGATTAATCCTGGCAGTTTGTCACTTTCATGACACAAGAGGCCATTTCACTTCCCTGTCACTCCAGTAAGACACCCCTTCTTCACTTTTGAGGGTTTCTGACAAGTTACAGAGCACAGCAGTGGAAGACACCAGTTGTATCCAACATAGGAAAAGCAGATGTGGGTCACCGACAAAGATCTCAGAAAGAGTATGTGCTTCATAATTCAATGCAGATTTCTCATTTGCTACCAGTGCAAGATATTCTTGCAGCTTCTCACATCGTTCTCCATGCGTGCAATTATTTCACCCAGTCTCGAATGGGGCTATGTCTTCTTGATTTCATTTCTACTTAAGAAATGAGAAAGTTAAAAATGTACCTCAAATGCAATTGTGGTTCAGATTACTGAGCTTTTGCTTAAATATTTCTGTGAACTGGGAAACAATGAAAAATTTTAATACATTGGGCAGCATTGGTCAATTTAATATTTCATCCTTTTAACCTTATATATATTTCTCAGTGCAGGGGAAATTTTTAATACATCCGAGGCAGCATTTTATTTAATGGTAGTTTCTAATTGCAATAATGTCATTAAGAAAAAAATATTTATAGATTTATATATTTGTATGCATATATATATATATCCAATGGTATAAATATGTCTAACATCAATTCAAAATAAAGTTTAGTTTTCATTACTACGAATGATAAGCATAAACTTCATACTCATTATGTCCTGTGACTTGAAATTATTCTTTTCCTTTATTTGCAGCAGGTCATTTTATTTGTGATTATAATTATGTGTGTATATTCAGAGCGGAATGATTTGCTGTCCTTTACATCTGACTTCCCAGAGCCCACACCTTGTTCAACACAAAGGAGACTTCAAAATATAAACTTGCTAAACAGAGTGGACTCCTCCTTGAGTCACAACAAAAGACTTTACTCAGCATGACATAAACATGCTTGGTGAGTTCCTGCCTGCATGCCTATTCCTTTCTAGGATATCTCATAGATAAAGGAACAAGATAAAGTATCTTTGGTCTGTGTCTGCAACATCCACACATGGGCCCTATCATTCATTATATTGTATAATGGATATATCCATTACTCAAAAACATGACAAAGATATTTGTGAGTTAAAAAACAAATAGTACTGAGCAGGTGAGCATATGCCTCTGGCTGAGATGAAGTCTATAGCATCATATCATTCCAGGCTCCAGAGCCATATGAATCGTTTACTGTGCTTCTCAATAATCTTCCTTACTTACACTTTCAGTTTCTCACACTAGAGAAACTATTCAGTATTTACATGTGTGTCCTGTTTATTTCACTTAACCAAAAAAAAAAAAAAAGTTAAAGTGAGTCTAATCACTTATCATTTAGTAAGTCGACTGACTTTTCAAATAGAAAAATAAAGTTACATACATAAAGCAAAGCTAGAAATAAAATATGTGCTACTTACACTTTTATGTAACCAAAGAAGACCTAGGAATTACTGAAAAATTGTGAGTGAATACATCAAAGAAACTATTCCAAACCAAAACAAAAATGATCTTCCTACTTGTAGGATTCTTTATTTTAAAAATTCTTATTTTAAAATTCTTTATTTTATAAACAAAAATTCACAATGACTGCATACTTAAAAGTTCCAAACTTTGTCTTGTTGCCACATTCTGGAGATGCAGGTTATTCTCCTTATTTTCACCAAGCAGTATGAGAACAGAGAAGAAGAGAGATTTGCACATATCTGCATATGGCAGCAGATCAGTGACACAGGATTAAAGTTTATTTCCCAACTCCTTTCGCAAGAAATAGTATCCTCCAGTGGAGCAAAATTTAAATATTTTTCCAATAAGTTGATTAAATTTCTTTGAGTCTTATCATAAAGAAATCACTACTGGACAGACTGCATGGAATATTTTGAAGGCTTTTCTCAAGAATAAAGGGATGAAAGTGATCATGACTGACTTTTGGTAGGGGAAACTTGTAAAATGTTACACATAATATTTATTAGAAATCACAGAAGTATCTCACACCATATATTTTACTAGGTTTTCACTTGCATAACAAGGAGAAAGGCAAAATAATTTTAAGACAATAATAATAATAAACAGATGTTAAATGAAAGGTCTCCAGGTAATGGTTTGTATTAAAGGAAACATAGGCACTTGTATATGTAGCCAACTCTATTTCAAGGAAAATAGATTTGTGTTGTACACAACTTAAGTTTTTAAGAAAACTGTGGATTCATAAATCAATTATCACCTGAAAAATTTAACAGGAAAATTGATGCATGAAATTTACAACAGATTCCTTTGACAACATGTTTCCAAGAGAAAGGAATTATAGAGGGACACAAACACTTCAAATTTCATAGGTTAATGATTCAGGCTCTAAAATATTAGATGTGATGCAAACATAATTAAACATTTATAGGCTAATATGTGGAGAGGTAATATTAATGGAACATTTTATGGATGCAAAGAAATATACTGAGAGTGGCTCTCAACTCAATATAAGAAAGAAACCAAAAAACTCAAAAATAGTGATAATGTGATTGAATTTATTGATCTGAGTCTAGAGTGTCTGGATATATAAAAATATCTATCTATCTATCTATAAGTAGATTATAATTTCAAGTGATATAAATTATTTTTTATATGGCAAACAATTAAGTTAGGTAATTGTTCTATTCATTTTACAGATTAGGAGGAATTATGTTATTTATAGGTGTGTTTACAACATTTCATATGCTTTTTCTTTCTTTCTTTTTTTTTTTTTTTTTTTTTTGGTACTGGGGATTGAACTTGGGACCTTGCACTTGCAAGGCAGGAGCCAGAACCACTGAGCTAAATCCACTGCTCAAATATACTTTTTCTTTTGTACATGAGTTTTCAGGTGTGTTAATATTATTTCATGTACTTCTACTTTGTATTTTTCCCAAATAAACTGTAGCATGGCCTGAAAAAACAGTGTTTGAATTTTAGTAGCTAAAATGAGAAAAATACTAATCATGTACCAGAAAATACTGATGTGAAAAATTTGTCAATTAGAATTAACAGGGCTTGAAATCAGCCAGGGCATTGGGACTTTCCTGATTCTGCATATTTTTCACTGGACATAGAGGGTTTAGTATCATAAAAACAATGATGTATGCTACTAAAGAAAATAGAGTCAAGGAGAAGACCAAATGGCTGTCTTACATAGTGATATTTTAGTGTCATTGTTTGGAGTTATTAAAATAAACCTGTATAAAATGTAAAATGCAAAATGCCAGTCCTTCTTATCCTTTATTATTTTTTAATCTTTGGCAGTTACAGTATGCATTAAGGCACCATTCCTTGTTATTATGTCCTCAGATTATGTGCATGTATTTGAACTTTCTTTATATAAATTTATACAATCTTTAGACAAATATAAGAGTTACATATTAAATAATTTACACATAACAAAAGCTGTATGAGCACTTATATCTTTGAAAGATGGAAATAAGAAAACCCCTCAAATTAGGAAAAATTCCCGGGAGATAACTGACTCAACAATACATATTTTAATTATGAACAATTAACTAATTTAATGTTCATGTAATGCAGTCCTAGATATTAAACTAACTATAGGCACCATAAGTCAAGGGAATTTGTAACATTTTCTGAAAATAAAATAAGCTATATTAAATGCTTCTTAACTTTTTTCCAATAGAATCATATATTCTTTTTTAAAAAAGAGTTGGCTGTATATTCTTGCAGTCATAGAGTTCTAAACTCTAATGTTCTAACATTGCCTCTACAATCTCTGTAAATTAGGAGTGCACAGAACGATATAGGGGAACAAAAAGCCTGATAATTGAAGAGCTCTGGAGGATTGGGTTCATCACAATGGATTGTGATATGATATGCTATGTTTAAGGACTTCATGTGGGAATATTTTGGATGGGAATACTTGCTTCCCAACATATAAAGTCTTCTGCACTGATTATTCATTTCATTTTCTCAATAAATTTTTGAAAAGGTGTTCAAGCACTATGGAAACACATAATCTAACATACATCTTAGAATTCCATCTCCTGGGCCTCTCAGAAGATCCAAACCTACAGCCCATCCTCTTTGGACTGTTCCTGTCCATGTACCTGGTCACAGTGTTTGGGAACCTGCTCATCATCCTGGCCATCAGCTCTGACTCCCACCTCCACACCCCCATGTACTTCTTCCTCTCCAACCTGTCCATTGTTGACATCTGTTTCACCTCTACCACAGTCCCAAAGATGACTGTGGACATTGTAACTCAAAGCAGAGTCATCGCTTATGTGGGCTGCCTTGCCCAAATGTCTCTTTTTCTCCTTTTTGCAAGTATGGATGACATGCTCCTGACTATGATGGCCTATGACCGGTTTGTGGCCATCTGCCACCCCCTGCACTATGCAGCCATTATGAACCCTCGCTTCTGTATCTTACTACTTCTGCTCTCTGTCTTTGTTAGCCTGTTAGACTCCCAGCTACATGATTTAGTAGCCTTGCAATTTACCTGCTTTAAAGATGTGGAAATAGCTAATTTCTTCTGTCATCCTTCTCAAGTTTTTAACCTTTCATGTTATGATACCTTATTAAAAACCATGGTCACATATTTTGTTGGAGCCATATTTGGCTTTATTCCTATGTCACTGATCTTTTTCTCTTACTATAAAATTGTTTCCTCCATTCTCAAAATCCCTTCATCAGGAGGGAGGTACAAAGCCTTTTCTACTTGTAGTTCTCATGTGTTAGTGGTTTGCTTATTTTATGGAACCAGCATTGGAGTATACCTTGGTTCATCTGTGTCATATTCTCCCAGTAAGGGCATGGTGGCCTCACTGATGTACACTATGGTCACCCCTATGCTGAATCCCTTCATCTACAGCCTGAGGAACAGGGACATTAGCAGCACCTTAAGGAAGCTCCGCAGTTGGTGAATCTAATCTTTGGATGTTTTGGGTCAATTTGGAATGTAGCTTGAGAAATGTAACTGAACTGAACACACAAAAGTCAATGTAAATATTGCCTGCTTTATTATATTAAAGTTTGATGTCTTCAAATTTATATAATGTTCATAGAAGAATTGTGACTGATTTAGGGGATGGTGAATTTTATGGTTTTAATATCAGTGCAAAATTCATTTGGGAAGTTGTGGAATTTTCTATAGATGAATAAGAGTGATGGTTGCACAAAAATAATGGTGGATTTAGTGTGACCAGGTTTTATTTTAAAGTGGTATATTTAGTTATATGTATCTCAGCACAATGAAAAATTGAACTAATAAAATGAAGATTTTATAAAAGTTTATAAAGCTTTATTAAACATTTCCAACAGCTGTGCAATGAATACACTAGAAATAAATGCTCTACAACAGCAGTGAAAATATTTCCCAAGTGTGGCCTTGCACTCAAATTCCCTGAGTGGATGCCTCCCATTCTGTCCTCTGCATGGCCTGCCTCCTTCCTCCTCAGGCAGGACAGAGGGATGGTTCTGACTGGAAGGACAATTATGCTGATCCCCAGTGGGTGGGGTCAGGAGAAAGTCTTGCTTGCCAACACTTGTTACAGAAGTGCAGAGAGAAAAAAACCAAATGGGAGTCACAAAGTCTTCTTGTGTATTCTTCCCAAGGTACAGTCTCCACTCCCTGTGCCTTTTCTGAACCACATTGGAGCCCAATGCTGGTGAAACTGCAATCCTCATGCTAAATAAAAACTGCAGTGGGAGCTACTATAGCTAGCTACTGCTAGACCCCCAAACTGTAACATGTTCTATAAAGCTTCTTTAATAGGAATATGTACACATGGATGGAGGTGGTGCTACATGCCTGTAATACCAACACTCTGGATGCTGAGGCAGGAGGATCACTTCAAGTTCAAGGTCAACCCGGGCTCCATAGTGAGTTCAAGGCCTGCCTGAACTACACAGAACTTGTATCAAAAAAAGGGATTGTATATACATATTCATACACACACTCACACAAACATACATACAAGGCACATTTTCCATTCACTTGGCTGAGAACTGCTAGATCTATATGAACACATCATACATCCATCCTGCAGAAAACTGAAAAGAAACACAAGGAGGTCCCCCTCTACAGATGGCTGAGAAAAGCCAGAGAAAGGGTAAAGAAAAATAATTTGGGCTGGAAAGCATGAGCATAGACACCCAGGTGAAAGGGCAACAATTATTTGATGCTTCTTTTAAAAATGAAGCAGAGAAAATACTGAAAGCTTGTGGACAATGTACCTAGCCTGCTGAACAGGGAAGAAGGATGAAAAAGCAAGGCTTTTGGGCATCAGCAATCTCTTTAACTTTGAGATAAGGGCAAAAATGGGCCCTGTCATGCACAGGTGCTCCCCCAAAATGAAAATGAGTAGAAGGAAAATAAAGGGAAAAAAGGAGAAAGACTGAAGAATCAATAACTTTCTGGGAAAGAGGGAGATTCTGAAAAGGAAGACTCACAGAGGTGACAATGAGACTGGTATTTTATCTGCCAAGGCCAAGCCAGGGTTGTTGACCAGGATAGGGTTAGACTTTTCACAGTTAAGAGGCAAGGGGCTGCCCGTCCTGCCCACGGGTACCCAGATGGGGACAGAACACATAAAACCACAAGATCACCCATGAGTACAGGACTCTACAAGGAAAGCACCAGCCAGTGACATTATTCACATTATAAAGATAAAACATCACAGGCCAAAAAGACACCACCATCAGGAATGTGATACCCACAGGGCTGTGGGATTTGAAACTCCAGTGCTACATGACCTATGTCATTGTTCTTCTCCCAACTAATGCTTCCTTCAAAAGCTAACAGACTACCATTTGGTACCTACAACACCAGAATCATATGCCAGACTTGGAAGATAGGAATCCATGCAGTGGTAGGGGAAACAGTTTACCCAGCAGCAAAGACAAATGGTGAACAGGGCTTCAAGGAAAACCAAGGCATAGATTGTGCAAGGCTTCTCTTCCAGGACAAACTTGAGCAAGTTCAGTCCATGAGCATAGAGTGGCTGGACCACAGGGCAGGGTTGAGAGGCTTGGGGATGGGAGGGCAGGTAATGGCCACTAGAGGCAATACATGACCTCTGCTGGGGAAGGCCTTTACCCAGCCTACAGAGCATCACTATAGGGACTGACCTATTGGGAGTCAGTGGGCTGAGGTGCCTGCCTTCTGTTTTCTTCAACTCTCTTTCCAGGAGCTGCACCACCCTTCTCTCTGACTGTCAGCCTGTGCTCACTAAGGCAGTGATGATTCTGCCAGTCCTGTCATGGTGCTGCTACCACTGCTGCCATTGCTGCTGCCAAACCTGAGGAATTTATTTTTAACAAAAGAATTTTCCTAAGTGAATAGTACACTTGAGATTAGGGTTAGAGTGGAGATGCTAATTTTCCCACTTTCAAATCCAAAGACTCTGGCTTTGGGGGTGGAACCTGGGTCCTTTAGTTTAAGCCCTTCAAGGGGTCTTTTGCAGCTCCCTGACCACAGATATCTCTGTGGCTGTCCCTCACCCAGTCACTGTGGGAGCTTAACATGGTAAGCACTGTGATGAAGTCAACCAGCAGCTGCTGTGTGTCTCAGGTTTAGTTCACCCCTCCTTGGAATGGTGTCCGCCCACTCTCTGGAGGGGAATCCAAGCACATGGACTGGGGTCACTCACCAGCTCTTGCAGCAGACAGCATCTGCTAGTCTTTCCACAGCTGCATTTCTCTCTGAAGGCCTCTGGAGTCCCTCACTTTCACTATGTCTTCTTTCTTGTGATTCTGTCCTCCTTTTTTGTGAGCCACAAACAAGGCAGAAAGGCAGGAAGAAAGTAGATTTCCCCTTCCTTTTAACACACTGTGGTCTGTTTTCTCAATTTCTCTGAGGGCTCCAATTTTCCTGTCAGTTCCTTCCTGGGTCTCAGGGATCCACCTCCCTTCTTCTTTTCTTCCCTAAGTTGTTATTTTCCAATGTCTGGATTCTGTATCTTAGAGAGGCTACTTTGTTGTTGCTAACCACCGTGCCATTTTTCTAAATATCTTCATCTTTTGCAATGTCTTCCAATTAAATCATAATGAGAACTAACAAAATAATGGAACTGAATATCCTTCATGTGGGTGAAGTGTGACAATTTCATTTGTGTATCAAGAAATAAGGAAGGGAAAATTTGTTAACTAGTGATGAAAATGTTGGGGCAAAAACCTGAGCTTTATATCTCTCCCTCATGGTAAAGACTTTAACTTTAAATAGAAATATTATTAGAAAAATAATGAATGTATTCATTATGCACCATAAATATGTACGAATAAAAAAAAAGCTGAAACAGTTTCAACAGGTCACCATAGAATACAGAATGAGGAACAAAATTTAAAAAGCACACATTGTCACCAGATATTGTACTGAAATTCACTGAAGTTTATGCAAAAAACTTGTATAAAACAAAATATTGCAAAGGTGTTTTTCAAAATTTCATTATCTTTAATATGGAAAGTTTCAGTGTGCATTGTACCATATTGTGGTCAGTGGTGTCACATAAGATTGTGTATTTTACTAAAAGATGTTTATTAAAATTTTGAGTCCATGAAGGTCTAGGAGAAGAGTTATTGTCTTAGTTACTTTTCCATCACTGGAAACACTACTCAGAATCCACAATTTAAAGGAGGAAAGATTTATTTTTACCTAGTTTCAGTCCTTAACTTGCTGGCTCCAAGGCAGAAACAAGATAGAAGAAGTGCCCGGCAAAGGAAAAAGTACTTGACCCATGGTAGTCAGGAGGCAGAGAGAGGAGCCAAGGACAAGAACACACCCTTGCAAGTAACACCCCAGTGAGTAGCCTCCAGCCAGGCCCCACCTTCTGACACAAAGTCACCTATAATGCCACAGTGATTCAATCACCTTCCACACACATGAGACATGTAGGGGAAAATTTTACATCTAAAACATAGCAATTATAACATCAATATATTTTAAAAGCTAAAGAAACATTTGGGTGAGCAATTATACCTACAAAGAAAGGAAATCAGAAAAACCAAAAAAGGTTGGGAAATTCCTGGAGGTAACCCTAATAACAAAATTTTTTACAATAAATAATCAACTTTATTGCTTGTACACAAAAAGCAGTCCTGGTTCCTATTGAATATTAAAAATATTTGAAGTTAAAGAAATTTGTATGGTTTTCTTGCAAGAAGAGATCTTTCACTGCTTCTAATTTCTTGTAATAAGAAGCACTTTATTTTTAAAGAAAGAAATATTTCACATTCTCTTTTGTGTTTCAAGAGTGAGATATAGTTTACTGTGATAATGGACTTGTTATTGCTAATGTTCTTCAGCATTTAATCATTCAATGAAGTTTCTCCACTGCAGATGTGTAAAGAGTTTGATAACTCCAAAGCCAATATTGAAAGATTTCTAGGAAGAATGCACTTGACACAACTGAAATATAGTTGATGGTATATGGACCTTTAGTCTATATACTTTACTTGTGAATATTTGGATTCAAAATATAAAGAGTGTTAAGTGACTTCTTATTTGTGTCATTTTTCTAATCTCTTATTTATACAGAATTTATTATATTTTATTTGTGCATATTAACATTACATAATGGTGTGGTTTGTTTTGGAAAGTTAGTCAAACTTTTTTCTTTTTCAAAAGGTGTACAAGTAACATCAAAGCACAAAATAAAACATATGTTTCAGAATTTCATGTCACTCATTTTTAAGGAGATCCATCCTCTTTAAACTGTTCCTAGCCCTGTACCAATTCAGGGTACTGGGAAACCTCATTATCCTAGCTATCAGCTTTGACTCCCACTTCAACATCTACATATCCTTCTTCCTCTCAAATCTGTCTTTGTCAAATATCTACTTAACTCTACCACAATACTTAAAATTACTATAAACATCCAAACTTTCAGTAGAGGTATCTCCTGTGCAGAATCCTTAATAATGATGT